CCCCTGTGGGTTACAGAGGGTATTTTTAATTTGTTAATAATCTTTGGGTAGGGAAGTTTCCCATGCCACCTGTCCTATACTTCTCAAAAGGAGAGCTGGAGCCTATCTCAGCAGACACTTTTCTTCCTGGCTGTACTCTTCTTCTTGGTTCGCACATCTTTAGATCAGTGGATGGTGGTTTTTTTTTTTTTTTGCCTTTCCTATGTTCACGCTGCTGAGAAGGAAACGTTTTGTCATGAGAACTCCCAGGCTCCAGGAATAGGGCTACAAGTTGGGAAAGGCTGCAACCTCCAGCAAATACAGCAGCAATGTCGCTTTCCTCTCCTGCTGTGTCCCTGCCTGCTTTCACATGCCCACAGCCCTGCCCAGGGCTGGCTGTCCCCCACCAGTCACCTAGAATCTGCCTGGGATGCAGTGGCCCTGGCTGTCCGACCCCAGGGAGGGACTCTGCACTGCCTACTGTGCTTACAGCTACTCTATGAGAGCCGTAGTGTCTCAACCACTATTGCCATGGAGAACCACAGAGGCTCCAACTTCTTCTCCACAACCAAAATAAATATACTCCAGTATTAGCCCTTGCTGAGCTCCTGACATCCTTGACCCCACTAGCCTGGCTGGCTCAGGAGTGACCCAGCCACACCAGCACTACTTAATGGGCATCTATTTCTTCTCTGCTGAAAAAGGAGGGGCAAATGCCAGCTATTAACAACATCTAGTCTTTGACATTTACAAAAAGTCAACTTTGTCAATGGTATTATTTTGTAGAACTGAAAAAAAAAATTATTTTCCTCAAGCAATTTGTCATAATGGTTTTAACATTCATCATACACAAAGACCAGCTATCTGAGAGGGGTTTTTTCCAGTCTTTTTTTTTTTTTTTATTAATAGAGAGAGATCACTATACCATTACAATACTTCATTCTTCTAACTCCAATGGCTAGATGGCTCTATAGCTCACGTTTCCTGATTGCATTTAGAGGGTGCTATCAAAACAAAACTCCTACCTTCCTGTTTATTTAGATTTTAGCTACAGAAGGAATTGACCCATAGTAGTTTAGCTGGCCTAAGGATTTGATTAAATGTGCGATTTGAAAATCCACTTTAATGTGCTTTCTTTTCTGGGAAGTATATATATCTATATCTGTACCTGTACATATACCTGTATAAATATGAGAATGTTATGGGATCGAGTGCACCCTCAACAAGTTTGCCGATGACACCAAGCTATGTGGTGAGGTCAACACCCTGGAGGGAAGGGAGGCCATCCAGAGGGACCTTGCCAGGCTGGAGAGGTGGGCCCGTGCAAACCTCATGAAGTTCAACAAGACCAACACCTGGGTCAGGGCAATCCCAAGCACAGATACAGGCTGGGCGATGAGTGGATTGAGAGCAACCCTGCGGAGAAGGACTTTGGGGTGCTGGTGAATGAAAACCTGAATATGAGCAAGAAATGTGCGCTCACAGACACTGCATCAGGAGAAGTGTGGCCAGCAGGTCGAGGGAGAGGATTCTGCCTCTCTGCTCCACTCTGGTGAGACCCCACCTGGAGTACCGCATTCATCTCTGGGGACTTAGGCGCAACAAAGACATAGACCTGCTTGAGTGCATCCAGAGGAGGGCCACAAAGATGATCAGGGGGCTGGAGCACCTCCACCATGAGGGCAAGCTGAGATAGTCGGGGTTGTGCAGCCTGGAGAAGAGAAGGCTCCGGGGAGACTTTCTAGCAGCCTTCCAGTACTTAAAGGTGGCCTACAGGAAAGATGAGGAGGGACTCTTGATCAAGGAGGATAGTGATAGGACGAGGGGTAAGAGATTCAAACTGTCAGAGGGTAGATTTAGATTGGATATCAGGAAGAAATTCCTTTACTGTGAGAGTGGTGAGACACTGGCACAGGTTGCCCGGAGAAGCTGTGACTGCCCCCTCCCTGGCAGTGTTCAAGGCCAGGCTGGATGGGGCTTTGAGCAACCTGGTCTAGTGGAAGGTGTCCCTGCCCATGGCAGGGGGGTTAGAGCTAGGTGATCCTTAAGGTCCCTTCCAACCCAAACCATTTTGTTATTCTATGGTAAAATGTGATTGGATATTGTGGTGAGATAGAGCTACCCAAGACATATTGACATACATAAGGGAGAAAATATCACACTGCTAGTCACTGTAGTGCATGAAGCCCACAGCACCATCTACTGCAGCTCAAACTACATGAGGCCTACTCAACAAGCATGGGGTGGAGGGATCCTTGTGTTTTCAATTTTTTTTTTTTTTTTTTTTCATGTTCCAGACTGGGAAAACGTTAAATGGATGGTTCAGTTGTTTCCTCTGCCACTCATAGAGGTTACTCTTTTGGGAATTGCCTTCTGCCTGATTTTGCTTGCTACTGCTACTGTCTGCTTCTTACGTATTCCCTGCTGATACTGGGACCAAGTTACACTGGCTGTTGAAGGAAGGTTGAAGGTGGCATAGTTATTTTATTTTTACTTAACATTTCAGAGGAAAGTGATATTTTGGAGATGTCAAAATACAATGCAGATGATTGCTCTACAAATAAAAAGAAAACACACATTCTCCCACTGTTGATTGTCCTAAAAAAGAGAAGACAAATTTAGATGGCACAGGACTAAAGAAGTTCAGTAACTGTCTTGATTTAATTCTCTATTGCCAATTTACAGTTCGTTGTGCTTTGATCAGTGTAAAAAGTAGAGAGCACAGTTACTGACTTCATCCAGGAAAATTGATAGGGTTCGTATAAAATCACCAGTGTACAGACTAATCTTTGTGCACCTCAGAAACTTAGGCCTTATTCAAGGTCTAGCATGATTTTGTGTCATATACAGTAAAAGTGAGTAGAATTTGATCTGAAAAGAGTAATTATAATTTGCATAAACCGTTACTTTATATTTTAGTAACAATCCTAAATGTAGGAGTTAAAAATGGCTGAAATTCTTAGTGTGTATAAAGATAGGAAGGAATAGAAAATAAATAGCAAGTAGGAAGGAAGATGATAGTAAATTAGGGAAAAAAAAAAGCTAGAAGGAATATCTCAAGCCGAAACAATGTGATTTCTTTCTTACTCTCTTATACTATTTGGTTACATCACGTGGTATAAATAAGGTTAAATGATATATTACAGTGACATGAAAATATGTAGACATAAATAGGGCATAAACTGCTGTAATTTATGTAGAACTACATCATTGTGTTCTGGCTATGGATCTAACTAATTTTTTCTGAAGTTTATATACCAAGATTGGCTATAAATATTTTAAAATTGAACTATTTGAATATTTTTAAAAGTTATTTTAAAATCTATTGTTCCAATATTCTGTATTCTGTACTATTTGTACTCTATAAAAATGTCGTACTGTAGGTTTTTAGGAGATAATAATCTGCAAAATGCAATAGTCAGTGTCCAGGAAGAAGCTATTAAAGTATAGCACTAATGAAAACAAAGAACAATGGGTTACTGGGAACTAGACTTCAGGGAAATACCTTAATGATAGAAGCAAGGATATTACACACTGGTATGAAATAAACTCCTTAGCAGATGATAGCTTGGGGAGAAAAGGTCTCAGAATTGTAACACTGTGATAAAAATAATCTGACAATTCCTCAAAATAAAAGAACTGATTCACTTGGAAAGACTAACTGGAAGTACCTTGAGGCAAAAAATTCACAATGACCCTTGCCATCTATCCCCTTATAAAAATAATAACTTTATTCCTCAGTCTGGAAAGGCTATGTAAAAAGGCCTCTTGGATTAGAAATCTTAGTGGAGGAAAGGACGTAACCACCAGCTAGACCTGGGGAGAGGTTTTACAGCTTAAAACTCAGGACAGAGAGTTTGTACATTTACTGAATCCTGAGGACAGAGGTGGGTTATTAAATTAGAGTAATCTGGGGCTGGGGGGAGGAAAGATAGATATATATATAGATAGATAGATATATACACATACATATATATATATATATATATATACACACACACATCCCCCCCCCGCTTGCATTTGTGCTGTGAAATGTCATATGACTTCCTTAGAGAAGTTGAGTGTGATTTAAAATTGGAAGGAAAAGAACTGGTCTGGTTAAAAAGGAGAAAAGGAGAGAGGGGAAGGAGATGCAGAAAGTGCGTGCTTGCGTGCATGTGTGCCCACACGTGCGCGCCCATCCACACATGCTCATGTTTATTTAAAAGCTGTTGCAGCTCTCCAAAGCAAGTGGGTCACCCATAATGAAGTGGAGTAGCTTTTGCTTTTTTAGTAAAGGAAAAGAAAAAATTCTGCTGTCTTTCAATTTTTGTTTTCTTTCCACTATCACTTCACTATCATGAAGGCTTACTCTGATCAGAAGCACGTTGTATGTTCAGGGAAGTCATTGCTGTAAGAACAAAGGCATACGTATATATAAATTCAGCCATGAATTTATATAATGACATGAAATGACAAAAAATTGGCTAAGGAAATCAGATAGGTTGTACTGGATAAACAAAGTGAGACGGAAACAATCTAGACAAGAACAACTACCCATAACCTATTTGAGGGAATAAGGCAATCTGGGAACCAGCAGCAAAGCATCTTACAAAGACAGAGCAAAGTATGAGCCAAAAAGCTAAGGAAAAATAATTTTCTAATCATGTCCAGAAACAGATGTTTAATTATGTTAGAAAACAAAGTTGGCACTGAAATAGTCTCAACAGTAGTTATTTAGTAAATGGTATGTATTTTATTATAGTTTTATGACAGTTAATACTGATATGTCTAAATAGTCTTATATTTATTACTCCTTATGTATTCGGTATAATTCAAAAGTACAGATTGCCATATTTCAGGTGACAAAAATGGTGTTCTGGTTTTGTACACTGGGCATGATTTCCTATGTGTAACAGATAGAAGAATATTATAATATATGTATATATTTCTGCCCAATGCAAGAAATACATGCAGCCATAGAACTATCCTTTCACACAAAACGCTACTGATCACAACCAAGTCAGACTAACTAAACTAAACTAATTTAGCTGTTACAGCTATACACGTCAGTATGCTTGAAAGCCAAACTTGTTTTTTTATTTTATTCTGGGGCGCATAAAATCATGGTATTTGGCAGCATGGAATAAGGGACATTAAATCAGCTTTTATGCTGTTGTTAAGGAACCCGTAGAGGATGGGATTCAAGCAGCAGGACATCATACCCAGTAAATGGCATATGCAATATACTAATTTAAAATGTCTGTTAGAAATGAGAGTGGCATTAAAATCCGTCACAATGTGGAAGAGGTGAAGAGGCATCCAACTGAAACCAAAAACTAGGATTAGCACTGTCAGTCTGCAAAAAACTCTCCTAGATCTTGTCTTAATTCTGATGATGGATCGGGATATTGTAATCATGTCCTGGGTCTCTGTATTTTCTTCTGGTTTTGTCTCAAAACAGATAGGTATCCCAGGAATGAATTTACTGGAGGAAGAGAGCTGGCTTTTTTCTGTGCCAGAGGTTTCTGGGAGGTCTCTGGAATGAGTATTCTGATGATGCCTTGAAATAGCAGGCATCACACTTGAAGTCTTTTTACTGTATCTTCTGTGGTGCTTTCTACCAAAGGCACAGCTCCATCTGGAATGGCTGGATGGCTGCACCTGTGTGCTGGTACTCTTAGATGGATGAAGTGTAAGGTTTATCATCTCCTTTTCTTCAAACTTGTTTTCCTTGTTTGACAGTCTAGAGCCTATGCTCCTGCAGACGCTGGTATGACTAGCAGTTAAACACACCAGTGGCAATATGTACTGCATGAACAATAAAGCTATTGTAAAGGCAATTCTGTAGGAATCGGAAGGCCATGACTCAATACACAAGAGCCTGTTCTCCAGTGCCTCTAAATTCAGAGTTTTGCTGAGGTCCACAATTTTGTGGAAAACTGGCAGAGGGGAGCAAATGGCAAAGCCAAGGGCCCAAATGGTGCCTATTAAGAAATAGCCTTGTTTTGCTGTTAAATTGCTAGAAAGGGGATATTTTATCATGCGGTACCTGACTGCAGCAATAGATATTAACATTAAAGTTGAAACTAGAACTGATGCGCACTGGAGGAAGGGCATTACGTGGCACATGATAGTGCCAAACATCCATTGGTCAAGCAGGACAGACGTCAGTGTGAAAGGTGAACAAAACAGCACAACTAAGATGTCAGAAAAGGCCAAGTTACTGATAAGAATGTTTATTATTGTCTTCTGCTTGCGCTTTACTAGAGCCACTAGTATAAGCAGATTTCCCATAAAGCCAGCCAGACTTATCAGTGTGTACAGCCCGATAAGAAAGTACTGTATGTCGTCAACACTACTCTTATAATCTTCCCAGGCAGAAAAGTTCTTTGTAGTAGCAGAGGTGTTCTTGGTAGGTGTCCTGTTGTTACGGTCTTTGAATCCTAAATCCATTTTGCAGTCCTGCTTAGAACAAGAAAAGCATTAATTAGCATCTGAAGGAAGGATGATACTGGTGTTAATCAGAATGTAAAGGAACATAAATTTACCTTGTATCACCTTAATGCAAATAAATTAATAGTGGTGTTATTCTACTGTGCGGCAGATCCTGTGTAACTTTAGATCAACAGGAATTAGTTTTGTAGGTTTTATCACATGGTGTTCAGCAAACCTAGGCCTCCTACCTGGCCGCTCACATGGGACAATGACAATTTAAGGTTCTGCATTATGATGCTGGCTTTTAACTATGCTTTGCTGTAGACCATACTGTCAGCCTTTCCATGAGGGAGCAGTTAGCTACAAAAGCAATCCATTTAGTTGGTGAGATTACTCATGTGAATAACAGTTCACTGATATGAGTAAGGAAATTACCATCACCATCTGGGCATGTGCCTAATCATTACATGACAGCAAATTATAATGAGAGCGCCTGATAATATATGATGTTTTAACATATGCTAGCAACTGCAGTAGTATTTCTTACCTTGCTGGTAGAAAACCGACACAAAATAGGTGAGAGCTTTCTTTATAAGGAGAGCCACTGTCAGTGATCCAAAATGGAATTCCTAATGTGGTGCATATACAAACCGTCTTCTATTAAGTGTTGAACATATTTTAACTGTTGCTCATGCAGAGGGGAAAACTACCTACAAATCATCCAAAGTCATTGGGTGTAATACAGAGAGGACAGTGTTAACTGGAAGCAAACCCCACACAGCCATTTGAAAATTCAGGGAACTGCTAACTCTTCAGCACAGAAACATCTAACATTAAAACCTAGCTCAGCACAAAGTTATTCTGCCTAAATAATCCTCATATACTAGTCTTAGTTTTAGATGAAACAGAAAGACAGTTCTGTTTAAGATCCAGTTTATCTTAAACATCTGCATGTGCTAAAGTTTCAAAGTCAACATTCCCCAGAGTGCCAGTGTCCTGTACAAAATTGCTTAATGTTTAGAAATCTTAGGCAAGAAAAAACAAAAAGGTCTAAACAAACCCAAAACATGCATAAGCTGAGCAGAAGACTAAACCCATCAACTAAAAGAGGCAGGGCTCTTCAACAATGTAGCTATCCTCAGTGAGCTGTATCATGCTGACTTTTTCAAAGCGCAATAATATTATTCAGTTTCCTCTACACGTGCAGATGTGCTCCTTCCTTCACATCACAACTGTCAGGTGCCAAAGGGAAGCTCAAACCATAAAACACCCTTAGAATATTCACTGGCAGTGTGTTGTGATGGGAAGGTCCCTCATGTAAGATTAGAAATACTTATTTTAAAAAACCCAGTAAGATACTGCACATTTTTGTGTCTTGCAAGTAATGTGTTGGGGAGAGGTGAAAGGAACTAAGCCTTGCCAGCTGCTCACAAGGCTGAGTTAAGGTGCTTTTTGATAGCTAGAATAGAAATAAGAATTGGATATGTGAATCTAGATAACTTAAATATTGTAATTGTATGCGTATGAGCAGGGCAGCATTAATGCAAATTATGTCTGTTTAATTTTTCTGTCTCTAGTGAGACAGTGGAAAACCATATAATAGGCAAACAACACTATCTGAGACTACACTTGCCTCTAGACCAACTTTAAAGGAGCAGACTAGAGATTCTGTAAGTGATCTAATCCCTCTATGTCTTTATTGATATTATCAAAAATTTTCATTTTGGTGGGCTGCTCTTTACACAACTATTGCTAAAGAAGTAAATAGTTTTTTACTTAATTTTTCTGAGTTAATTTCCCCGAGTTGCTAGTAATCATCTGAAAACAGTATGATCTGCAGACTACAGTGACTTCCAAAATCAGCTGAAATTTCTTTCTGTTCTCTAAACATGACTCACCATAATTTTTGTCTGAGAAAACCACAGCAGGGATCTGCCCTGGATAAAATACACTCCCCTACCTCAGGCTTATGGAATTATGCCACTGTTAGGTCATACCTGTATCATTCTTCCCCCTTTGTTCAGCATGGAGAAATGATGGGTTTTGCTATGACCGATGCTTTCACAGAATTTGTTGTGTGCACGCATCTGTAATCTGCAGACTCTCTTGATTCATGAAAGCCGTTTCAACTGTACATTGCATTTCAATGTGAAATATTATCTGTCTATTACTTTCAGGGTGAACATTCTATTATCTTTGCACTACCACATTCATCTTAGCTGAGAAGCATGTAGGAAAAACCCTTGCATATAACTGAGGAGTTAATAAAGAAAAAGCCATTAGCATAATTCTGGACAATTTTCTTTTTGCTTGAACACCTTCCTTTTCCATTTTATATCTTGCACAGATTAAGGAAGCATTACTAGTTGAGCATCCCATTGCCTGATAGCAGGTTTTAAAACAATCAGGAGTTATTTGAGAAAGGGAAATGAAACTTTACACAAGATCTAGATCTGTCCAAATCTTGGTTACTAATCGACCAGTTATTGTCTGAGAATAGGAAGACTAATAAGAAAGAGAGAAGGAAATCCAGTACCAATTTGATATTCAAAAAACCTCAAGAACTCTTACAATGCTCTCAAAGTGGTGATGATTCCGAAGGAATGAGCTTTTCATTTATTATGTGTGCCTATGTAAGTAACTGTGCTAAGAGAGATCGTTCTGTGTAGTCTTCTGTTTTAAGTGATAGTAGGTTGAAGGACTAACCTGTGAAGCAGACACAAACTGCAGATGTTTTTTCTCAGAAACCTGGAGATTAATATTGCTTTTAGAGTATCTATGTGTATTCTCAGTAATATTTAAATTCCCGCACATATTCATATCTGTCTGAAGGTCATACTGAGTAGTAACAGTACACACCAATGCTTAAGTTGTAATAGCAGATCTGTCTGTGAAAGTTTTATTGATTGAGGTACCAAAACTGCAACTTCCTCCCTAGACTTTTTGCTGATAATGGCTGTCACTGAAAAGGTTGATCTTGGGCAAGATGGAGAAAAAGCAGGCACCCCTACTGGTAGTAAAGGCTCTCTGTGTAGTTAGTCCAGTCTATTTCAGTTATGTGTTACAGTCTGAAGAGAAATCCACATATTTTAATTCAATTTTGCTGAGTTTTAATAAACGGATTCTATGAAGAGAATTGAAAAAAATCTGATGGTGTCGCTGTTATTTCCTACTGCCACTTTCAGTGTTGGGTGACTAAAAGTGAAAAGGGAGTGACTCTCAAGTCAGATGCGACGTAATTATTTTCTCTTCTAGAAATTTATATTCCATACAGGTAATGCTAAGACTAGGGCCAAGGAACAAAATTGATGTGTTTTTATACTGGAATATGTTTATTTAATGAATGTTTATTGAGGAATTCTTAAAAATTTAATGGAAAGATTGTTTCCAGGTTCTGTCGATTTCTACATCTTCATGTAAAGCTCTTGCAGTACGGCTTTAGCAGAGTTATTAATTGTGTTTTTAATAGAATTCTTCAGAAAAAAAAAAAAAGAAAAGTGAGCACGCTGGTTTTGCTGAAGTAGACATATTTTGTCGAGACACATCAATATTGAAGCAGCTTAGCAGGAGTGCCTCTGAAGTCCAGTGCAAGCTCTCCAGCTCTGTCCCCTGCTATGGCTGCCTTCTGCCTTGGGTGAGAGCTGAGCTGTCCTGATTTCCATGAGGAAGGATCAGTGGAAGAAGCCACAACATGCTCTGGTCAGGCCCTGGCTGGACACTTGGGGCACCACAGGAGTCTGCAGTGCACTGCAGCCACTTCTGCACCATCTCCCTATAGTCACAGTTTCAGAGCGACAGAAAGACAGGGAGGGAATAAGACTATAATCTGGTTTTAACAGACAACTGCTGTGCTGACAGAAGTCCCCTTTGCAAAACGGCCAAAGAGAATTTTATTTTCATTCCGAATGTGTGAAATGAAAGCACTATTCCCCCAAAATTTCCTAAATTGTCAAGGGATCTCTTGCTCTCTGAGCTTCCCCAAAGGAACCAATTGTGCTCTCAGCTTGAGTGCCACTGTCAGTAAAGATGCAAACAAAAGCGTTCCCTCCCATATCACTGATCTTCAATCCCCAAACTCATATTAGCAAACCACTGATTTCACAGGGCTGTGTGCACTTACTGACATTTATCTTCCTGCTTTGTTTTAGCAGCTGCTTCTATTTTTGGGGGATTCACTCACTCTCCCTCTTGTCAGCTGGTCAATCGCAGTGCAGCACATGGCCATAGCTTTCAGGGAAATGAAAATCCCTGAAAATCCCACTGTGGGAAATAGAATTAAATAATTAACTTCTTTTGAAAACACTCTCCTTCTATTTGAAGTGTATTTCTAAACTGAATGCACCACAGTGCCACGGTGCTCTTGTGCCTGTTTTCAGGATCCCATTTAATCAGTCTGAAACTACCTGATGGAGATCTTCTAGCTGTCAGCTCCAAAAGTTGAATCACTTTCATCTCCTACATCGATCAGTCAAGCAAATGAGGTCCCATTTCTGTATTCTTGGTCTGCACAGACTCCCCAAGACTGTGCTCAGCTATACCTGTTACGAGCTCACACCCTGTGAGCTTTAAGTGGGTTTGCTTAGGTCTCCTTTAGTTTCAATGGGATGCTTGAGACAGAAGGCTAGGCTGCACAAGGCAGGAGGGACTACAGTTTTGTGGCAGGATCCAGGCTGGATTTGAATATTTACTGTAAGAATCAAATGAATGCAGTTAACATTAAATACAAGGAGTATTTGTGGTTATCTTTTACAGTAAAATGTATTTTATGACAGCTGATGATCTTGAAAGATTTCAAGTAAAACCTCTTTAAATCTCATTCGTGATATATTTCAGTGTGACTCTCTGATTACTGTGATTCTTACTTTCACCAAAATCATGCTTCAGAGGAGTTTTCAGTTGCAGTTGATCTAAGGCCTGAGAATGACAGAGAGAACGTGAACTATTAATCATGTTTAGCTGAATTAGAGGTACCACATAACCTAAAATACACTAGTTTAGGATGCTTAAAATCTTACTAT